GAATCAGGAGTCAGATTTCAGTTGGGTTCTAAGTTTCTGGATTAAGCTGCTGTCGGGGTGGGTGGATTGTTTTTGAGCTTGATGTCTAGTGGTGACTTGAGAGACTTTTTGTGGTGAGGGGATGATAGCATTGACCACATCCTCATGATGGTTCTTGTATTGTGGCATTCTAGACAAGGCATCAGTTAGGAAGTTCTCCCCTCCCAGAATGTATTTTAGAGAGAAGTTAAAGCAATTGAAATACTGCGCCCATCAAATATGCTTGGAGAATAGCTTCCAAGGGGTTCTAAGTGTCTCAAAGTTCTTATAGTCAGTCCATACTTCAAATGGTACCTTACTCCCCTCTAGGAAATGGCGCCAGGTTAGCAATGCCCATCACACAGCAAATGCTTCCTTCTCCCATACAACCCATCACTGCTCTGTGTTGGTGAGTTTCCTGGAGGTGTAAGTACACAGTTGCAGGTCTCCCTTATAGTTTTTCTGAAGAACTGCACCCACTGCAACATTGCTACATCCGCTTGAATGATGAACTGCTCCTTGGGGTTAGGTTAGCCTTTTGAGCTGTTCAAACGCTGCTTGGCATTCCAGCTCTTCACATGTTAATGCAACTATCCAAACAAAACAGTTTATTCTCACTTTATTATTAAGGAATTGAGAGTACCACTTTAGATTCTCATATGAAAACTGATACAGGAAAAATCAGAGATGCAAGTAGGCTGGCACCAGTACCAGATGCTACACTGGCATTAGATGCGGAATCAAATAGCATCAGGGATGTTTCGAGGAAGAAGTTTGGAAAGAAGATAGGAAATGGAGATGATAGCTGGCAGCTAAAATTGGCTTTGTCAACAATTGGCTATTGAAGATGGACTGATAGTTTCTGCAAAACCTAGTAAGGATAGATAAATTTGCTTGTGGACCAATATCAAAAACAATGCCAAAAAGTATTGTTTGGGCACTTCTACTGAACACAGAAAATTTGTGGTGAATTTGAATGTGGAAAATAAGATCAAAGATATATCTGTCAGATAACTAGCTGCCAGACTGACTGACGAAAAAAAATGCTTGCTAGAATAATTTCAGGTGCTTTTTAAATTCTAGATAGAAATAGTTCTACTATTTTGTGATGCAGAGAAAGTTGCATACATGCTTGGTACATGTATTTCCTAAGTTTATAAAACTTTCTAGATAATGCAATTTTAAAATGGCTTTGAGCTAGACATTAAGAATCCAGACTGGGGAAAAAATGCTTGCTTGATATTTTTATGACCAGCTGTGACATGCTATCGTTCAAGAGTAAGTATATGACTACAACAGTTACTGAGGCTTGAAGGTAGAAAAGTCAGCAATTGACTGTTCTGATAAAACTTGGCTGAATTTGCTACTTACTCGCTTAAAGTGATTTTAAAAGAAAGAAAAGATGTGGAGAACACCAAAAAGTTGTGTGGACCTGCCTCTGTCTCTTAAGCTGATATACTTTTGTCACGCAGCATCTAATCAAATGTCTTTTTGGAGTTATGCAAATACAATTATTGAAATCACTGTTCTTCATTAAATAAACTAGTGTACTGTGCTCTTCATTCATACTTGTTTGGAAGCCATAGGTTCCAAAAATGGGGATGACTGGGAGGTTACAGGCACAAAGAGAACTCAGAAAACCAAGAATCTAATGGAAATAGCAAATGAAATAGCCGTATTGGAAGCTGGCCAGCAACCAAAGGAGAGGAGATATGTTGGCACCTCCCAATCCACATTTGATGATATGGATAACAGGTCAGCTCACCTTGCCACCAAGATAAGGTGTGGCAAAGCATTATATATGTATGTAAGTACAGGTCATGAAGTTGTTTTGAGATGGTACCAGAATCAGGGAAGAAAAACTGTGCCCTTTTTTCTTTCAGGACAGGAAGTAAGAATGCTAAAATTATGGGCTGAGGATGTGAGCAAAAAAGAAAGTTGATTCTGGTCAGGCATTTATAGTACTACTATAAACTGCAAAGGGAGGTAGGAACAAAGCTTACATCTTTTCCTCCATCTTTTTAAAAGAGCTCAAAAGTCGAAGGTTGAAGTGGGGCTAGGAGATTATGGAAGGGAAGTCTTGCAGTGGCCATCATAAACATTATCTTCCCTTTGTTTCCTCCCCTGGCACTTTAAAGGCAGCCTGAAGACTATACCTAGTTTCAAATTATAAAGAAAAACACTGAGAACACATGTGGGCATATCTGTGTGCTTTACGAAAGAGTTGTGTTGTGTGGGAGAATAGAAAGGAAAAATTTATAGCTGAGGGAAGGGAGTTATCAGCTTAACTGGCAAGTGATAGTAAAGAAGGAGTAGGCATGGTCTTCAACAAGCCAGTGACAGACAAACTGAAAGAAGAGACAAAGCCCAGCAGCTTCACTGCTTTAGCAACAATGCTGAGAAGTTACAGCCAGCCAGCAGCTGGGAAACCATCTTCCTCTTTTTACTTCAGCACAGACTGAGATACTGCCATGCCAGTGCAGAACAGCAGCACAGAGCAACAAGCCAATCAGGAGGTGGCTGAATGGTGGCTAAAGACTTTGGTGAAAGCTCAAGCAACAAAGAATAGACTATTTAGAAAATAAGAAATGCAGATAGATACAGACATAGAAGGCTTAGGAATAAGTGGTAAGGTAGAAAATAAGTTTATTTAAAAAAAAAAAAAAACTAAAAGCCTCCCTGGGGGAAAAAATGGAAAATGAAAACAGCCTGTTTGTTGCTGGTTTGTAAACATTTCCCAGAAAAGCCTTCTCACTGAGATGAAGATTTATGTGTGTATGCATGCATATATACAGCCATCCAGCTCAAATATGTGATTCTGGGTACAAAAGATAGAAAATTGCATAAAATAATGTAATACATTACAGCCAACATAGTGTTAGGCTGCATTAACAGAGGGATAGAATCAAGATCACGTGAAGTATTAATACCACTTTACAATGCCTTGGTAATGCCACACTTGGAATACTGTATCCAGTTTTGGTTACCACAATGTAAAAAAGATATTGAGACTCTAGAACAGACATGTCAAACTCGTGACGTCACGTGACATCGCGCAACATATCGGAGCCTTTTTGCCATTGCCGGCAATGGGGTAGGCACGGCTCTGGTATGATGAAACCGGCCCGCGAGCCGGCAGTTTGACACCCCTGCTCTAGAGAGAGTACAGAGAAAAGCAACAAAGATAATTAGAGGTCTGGAGGCTAAAACACATAAGGAATGTCTAGTTTAATGAAGAGAAGGACGAGGGGGAACATGATAGCAGTGTTCCAACATCTCAGGGGTTGACACAAAGAAGAGGGAGTCAAGCTAGTCTCCAAAGCGCCTGAAGGCAGGACAAGAAGCAATGGATGGAAACTAATCAAGGAGAGAAGCAACCTAGAATTAAGGAGAAACTTCCTGACAGTAAGAACAATTAACCAGTGGAACAACCTGCCTCCAGAAGCGGTGAATGCTCCAACACTGGAAGTTTTTAAGAAGAGACTGCACAGCCATTTGTCTGAAATGGTATAGGGTTTCCTGCCTGAGCAGGGGGTTGGACTAGATGACCTCCAAGGTCCCTTCCAACATCATCATCATCATCATCATCATCATCATCATCATCATCATTATTATGGATCATCGCAGTCAGCCAGATGTTCAGTCTGGATTTGGCATTTTGTCTACCTATCGAGTCCTTACCCAGGATCTGGGATAGGCAGATGTGGATGTTTGATAGTATTACAGGTATCATCGCAGGATGGAAGCAGTTCCTAGTAAGGCCGCCTTTTGCAATTGACTAATAGCGAATTTGTCAATACCAATGGTGTTCAAGTGGTGCTCCAGTTGTTTTGGGATTGCACCCAAGGAGCCTATGACTATTGGTACTACCCTTGCTTGCTTTTGCCACAGTCTTTCTATTTCTGTTTGTAGGTCTTTGTATTTTGTTATCTTCTCCAGTTCTTTCTCTTCTATTCTGCTGTCTCCAGGCACTGCCACGTCCACTATCCATCATCATCATCATCATCATCATCATTATTATTATTATTATTATTATTACATTAAAACATGCTAAATAATGAAATAGTGAAGAGGTAATTTTAAAGGCTAAAATTATGGCTCTGACTTAGAATCATGGAAGCCTCATTTAGGCTGATCAAGGTCTTCCACAGGAATAAGAACCCCTGCATTTGTTACCATGGAAGAATCAGCCCCAAGGGCTATTACAATTACATTTAAATATCTTGATTAAATCTCTTTCCTGCAACAAAAGCATTTTACTAATGATAGGCAGATTCACCTTTGCATCCTGTTCACAATTCCTCCCCTTCTCTCAGAAGATCTCAGAAAATAGCTTAAAATGGTAGCCCAATGTTAATTTAAAATATTTAGCCCAATACTGTCAACACCCTTGCACACTGCACTAAGCCATTCTTTAACCACAGTTGATTGTTCATACATCCTATTAAGCCAAGCCAAACAAATCATGTGTAACCCAGGCATAAGTTTCAGAATGTGATTATTTCATCTACCAGAGATTTATCTTCAAACTTTCTGCTTTTAAAATAGATTATCTACCATTGAAATTTCTTTCCTAGTTTTATTTCTGAACCATGTTCTGCACTATGTAGTATGGTGATCTGTGAAAATTTAATCTGTAGTTATTTTGACTAGTTTTACAATATATTCTACCTTTCCTTCAGAACTTCAAGAAGGCATACACAGCATTCTCTCCTCCAATTTTTTCTCAACAAGAACTCTATAGCAGAGCTCCTCGGGGCACTGGTTCCATGGAGAGAGGTTTTTCCATGGCCTGGAGAATGCATGGTTTTGTGTGCTGCCTGCATCCCATGGATGGGGCTTTGCTTGTTTCTGCGGACCAGTTGCTGGCATGCCACAGCCCAGTACTAGTCCACGGACCGGAGGTTGGGGAACCCTGCTCTATAGGTTAAGCTCAGAGAATATGACTAACCCAGACAAGACACACACAAACAAACAACAAATCAAAGATTTAAATGATATTTATTCTTTGTTTGAAACTTTAGGAATTGCAATAATCAACCACATATAGCAAACTATTGTTGAAACATCAAAGCAGTTTCTTAAACAAGCCAATTTGTACTTTATGGAAGTACAAACATCTGTACTTCCATAAATTAACAAGAAACAGAATTCTTGATTTTACACTTAGTGAAGCAGGCAAAACCAGAACTATTAATGTAGCACAGAAATATTACAGCTTTTGTAATAAAGGCAGGTAGGCATGCATATCCCTGAATTAGTCTTTTCCAACTAACTGGTTGGACTGCATAACTTCCAGAATGAACTGGTTGTGGGGGGGATAACTATATGCAAAGGATATCATGTGTACCTAGTAATCTTTCTGCAATCCTCAGAAAGCAAAATGGTAATCTTAAATGTGCAGCCTTATAGTTTACATTAATCTAATAACTTTTAGGCATTTGTTTCAATTTTAAATTTATCCTGAGATTGATTCTATTTGTCTGGGAAGCACTAAGGGACAAAAGATTAAGAAACCCATTTTGCTCTTTGTTTTATCATGCAGAAAAATCAAAAAACTAAACATTTTGACTCTGTCTACTTTGATGATATGAGTTACTTCATCTGTAACTTTCCAGTCTGTTTGAAAAAAATGACAAAAACAAAAAAAAACAGATCCTGTGAATTCTGTCCTTTATATCCTCATGCTACAAGGGAAAAGACAGTAAACATTATCTCAATCTCCAGTTTTGAACACAGTTTTGAACCATCAATATCCAATTCACAAAACAGGACAAACACTATACTATTATTAGCTTATTAACTGCATGTAAGTATATTTACCATTAGCCAATCTTATCATCTTTTGTCTTAAGCTGAGATATGAACAAGCATTTCACTCATACAAGGAAACATACTTTTCCTTTTTGTCTTTGCCTAACTGATAATCAACATCTTACAAACAAGCTAGACTGTTAAAGTTTGAAATTTAATTCAATATGCTGACTAGAAAACAATTGTTTTGGTCTGAATAAGATAGAAAAAATATGGGGGCTTATGGTTTAATCATGTCTGGAACAGACAAACAGTCATAATTCTGTTCTGTAAACCAATGCATTATCAACTGTAATATCTTGTCTCAGAAGTCTCTTTGAACTAGAAGAGACAGATTTCTGTATGTCATCTAACAAAGATATTTTGTAACGCTATCTAGAGTATAAAAACAATTCTATCAGAATCAACTTTCAAAGGAGCACATCCAGTTAGTTTTTATTGAATACCATAGGTTAACGTTGCCTAGAATAAAATGAGACACAGAAATGAACTACTTTTTTAAAAAAAGAGGCAAAGTTTTAAAGAAGTTACCTATTCTTTCTATAAAGCCAGCAATCCACAACTCTAGGTGAAACAGGAACATATTAGGGTTTCTTCAATGGCAGATAAAAGGTGAGAAAACATAAAGCAAGATTCAAGTCTACAATTTGCATAATTTGCAACATCACTGCAAAAGTTTCTGATTATCAATAGTCTGACAATAACAAAGAAAGCAAATCCACAACCACAAGCCTTTCTAGCATAGCTTGTCTTATATAGACTCTTCATCTGTCAGCTTCATTTGTCAAAATATGAACACAAAGTGATGGACGTTGATAAGAATTTTATATACTTCTGTTGAGCAGTTTTAGAATTCTGTATTAAGATTTTTCCCCAACTATAATAATTCAGTATACCTTTGCAATGATATATTCAGGACAACATTCTCATAGAGAGCTATTTGCTCTGCCCTATAAACTGTCAATTTGTATTAGTTTTATTTTCCACTATTTTGTATTTGGCACCTACCCCGTACACTTTAAAATACTAAGTAATAAAATAAACTGAAACTAGTTAACTAATAAAAGTTCAATAAATAAGCAAATTATTTTAGCCTTCAAAATTAAATTTCACCAAAAAGGATAAAGGAACATTGGCATTTGTAAGCTAAAATATGTGAAATATTGTTTTTCTGCATACTTTTTTATTCATGAAAGCTAGGGTCTTGATATGTACATCATCCACAGATACTGATGTTTGTGCAACTCTTTGGATTATAAATTTCACAATTTTACTTCTCGTAACGTCCTTGTGCAAGAAAACCTTCAAGTGTATACTGACCTGCAGACATGAGGTAAAACAAGGTCTCATGACTTTTCATCACCTACACGTAGTCCTCGACTTACAACATACATGAGCCTGGAATTATGGTGGTAAGTCATGGCAGTTGTTACTCAGATCACCATGTGACAGTGCCCAATTTTATAGCCTTCTTTGTGGCGCGGTTATTAATCAAATTTGCTTTCAGAAACCAGAAGTAAAAGCCAGAAACCGGCAAAAAAATACCAAAAATTACGGTTACATGACCAACAAATGCTGAAAACCATAAATCCAAGCCAGTTGTCAAGTGCCCAAACTGTGATTAAGTGATATATTTTAGGGGTGGTACAGCCACCAGAACTGCGAAAATAAGTTGTACGTAGCTCCGGGGAGGTCCATCATAATTTTGAACTTCACTAAGGACCATCTGTATACTTTTTTCTCCTTCAATGTATCTAGTCGGGCACAAAGAAGAAAACTACAAAGTTATCTGGGTTATTGGATTATCAACCTAAGATTAATAATAGGCATTTTCAATATATTTGCTGTACTGTTATCAATGAGAGGTAGTTTAAAAGAAGGCACTTCACAAATAAGCCAGCCAATCATAAGCTGGCTATTTTTTTTTCTTCATTAAAATTAGATAAGTGTATTTAGACATTAGAAAACTAGGAATAAAATCTCATGTCCTGGTAGAAGACATATAAATCCACTGAAATCCTTATTCCATCATTCCATGCTTCATAATAGATATGAGGCATTCCATCTGATTGCAAAGTGAATTTTACCTCCCCCCTAAAAATGGACTTCACACCAGAAATAGTGAAAGCAGAAATTCTACCTAATTGTAACTGCTTAATTGCTATTAATTAAAGAGATAAGACTGGGTCACATTTCCATTTATAGCTTGCACAAAAAAATTAACATAGATCTGATTTTAAGAAGGAAGAGGAACGATTTGTAGCCAGAAGAACATTGAATATATATTAATATTAGTAGGAAACAATCAAAAATCTCCAGTAGCATAATTTACTATTAAATTAAGGTTTGACCAGGCATACTTAGAATTGACTATGTATAATGGAAATATCAGCTGGCCTCAACATGAAAATTGTCAAATTGTGTCAATTCAAAAGAATGGGTTCCAATAGCTGCCCAGCCATTCTCTGGACTGTGTGTGGTGACGTTCTCCCAGAGAGGATAGCCATTCAACATGCCAGAGATATTGGATCTCTGTCAAAAAGAAGGAAAAAGTATAAATTTGTATTCAGGAGTCAATATTATTTTCAGTATAATGATGAAGCACATCATAAGGCAGAAAATACATCTTTCTAAACTATTTGGAAAATATTTTTGTTTTCCACAAGGCAACTGCTCCCTCATTTTGAGGGAGATTTCATTGCAAGTTTTCCACTGAAAATAAATTCACAAAATATATACACTGAATTGAAACCAAAAAACAAATCATGCCCACATTCTATAACCAAAGGTCACTCCTCCCACTGACCTTTATTTCCACGATGCATACTTATCCATAATGTGGATACTTTACAGAGATATGGAGTTCAACTCTCAGAATTCCCGAACCAGCCTGACCCTTTCTGAGACTTCTGGAAGTTAGAATGTTAAAACTGGGAAGTGGGAAGGGCACCATTAGGGAAAATTGGAAAATATATCTTAGTATTTCAGAGTTATTTCCAAGTGGATTAATTCCTGTCATTTCTATGTCACAGGAACAAGTTAAATTAAGTGGAGGAAATCCATGTTCTTTCCTCTATTCACTTCATTCAGAGGAATAAAACAGAATGTCCCCCCTACACACATACACACACAAACACACACACAGAGAGACACGTCCAAAAGGCAACCCTGTTGTACAGTCCAGATTTTAGAAGTGATAGGAAAATACGTAACTACACTGTATCCCAAGGAATGCCTTATAGATGAAAAACTGAACTCAGGAAGAGCAATTCTCAAAAAATATGTGTATAAATAGGTTTTAACCTGTCGGGATATTCTTGTACTAATCTCTAAGAGGCTATTCTTGAACAAAGGAACTCTCTCAGCATGATACTACTGAATTGCAGGTTGTGAAGTAGTTGAATTTTAATACCTGTGGCTTAATGAGATAACAGACTTTTATTCCTCTATAGGAGTTAATCAGCTTACCAGTATTTGGATAGCACTGTAATGCTTACCTTGAGAATCAAAGTGAGTGTATACCATCTGTTTGCTCGCACACCAGATAACCCTTTCATCAAGATTTCATCACCAGCTACAAAAGAATAACATTTTAAAATGCTTTCTCTATTTAGAAAGGAACTGAAATGATGTGCCACACAAACTCTAAATCTGAACAAAATTAAATAAAACAAAACTAAAGGCATACAAGAATGCAATACAATGAGTATATTATATTCAAATACAGTGATAAATCTAAAAATAAGCTAAGGATAAAAGATAGTTATCACTTATCAATACTGTAATTTATTTGGAGTTGTATAGCTGATGGCAAGGACTGTGAAGCTGTAAAGCAGATTAGACTGCTCAACTAGATTGAATGTCACAGTAGCTATTTGGAATCCTACACATCACATTTTGAATGCATTTTCAGCTTTGAATATTGGAAGGGAAAAGAAAATGCTCCAATTTCTACCTTTTTGCCTGCTTCCTAACATCTGGAAACACTAGGTTGGGTAAGATTCTGAAATAGATAACACGAAAGATTTGCAGGGCACTTATCAAGTCTCTAAGAAGAGAGGGCAATTCACCTGTCCAACACCTTCCCCCAGCATGCTGCAAAACTTAAAAAGTAAGAAAGAACTCACCAAGATCTCCTGTGACTCGATATGTGCCATCAGGAAAAACCCAAAAGAAAATTCCTTTGGCTAATGTAACATATATGCCACCTTTGCTAATTCTTCCTGCAATGAATGCTCCTCCTTTATTTGATTCTATATAAATATCACAGGTTATTACGAAATTTACCCTGTAAGAATAAATGGAAGATGGTTAAATTTGAGGCTGATTTTTTTAGGAATTGTCTTAATGTTTGAGTAGTTTTTTCTCTGACCTATTTTGAAATCAGAATTTGTAACAACAGAAGGAGGAGAGAGAAAGTGATCCAATTCATAATTATAATATGTCAGGGGAGTGATATTTCCTTCCTGTTTCTCCCCTAAATCTCTAAAGTAATATTCTAAATATAATGATGCTTTATTTAGGGCTCAAGGTTATTCCATATAAGACTTCCCAAATAGGAACTGCTTCATCTTAGTGCCTATGGAGATTCTTAGTTATCCAGGTCATAGTTATCCCAAAGGTGCTTTTTCACAAGGCAACTGGACTTTCTTGTTTTTCTTTAAAGACATTTGCTTCTCATCCAAGAAGCTTCTTCAGCTCTGACTTGCTGGTGGCGAATGGAAAGATCACCATCCAGTCTTCAAAAAAACCCAAGAAAATCCAGTTGCCTCATGAAAAAGCATCTTTGGGATGCTTCATCCTAGATTAGTTTTAGCAAAGATGCAGTAGGACTCATTGTAAATAAGATTAACAATTTTTGAAAAGCCAGAATAAATCCACCTTCAAAACTGCCTGATACCTTATACGATTTAAAAAATTTGTTTCCTAGAAAGGCAACACTTCACAAAACTTTAGGATTTTTTAAAGATTAATTTGGGATGCATTCAATACTATCTAGTACTATTGAACGTGCTATATTACCTATCCGTATTATACAATTACAGAAATACCCAGAAACACCTCTATAAATACCTCTAAGAGCAACAGAGATGTAACTATCAGTCTCTTTAGGTGAACTGAACCTAAAAGGATAATCAACAATATTACACAATATTCCATTTCTCTGGCTACCATGCTTCTAGTTATATGGGCCTCCATTTTATTCCCAGGTGCATTCTTTTCCAGTTTGGTATAGTTAAGGAAAAAACAATATCAAAGATGACATCAAGGGAAAGAATAGGAAAGAGAATAAGCAATTATCAGAATGTTATTTATAAATTTATTTATAAACCATTTTGTAAATTCATTTTTTAAAATTGAAAGGCACACAGTCTCTTAAAACTAAGTAAGTTTATTTACATAAATTTTGTTTCCAGTATTCAACAGATCAAATAATTCATACTCTGAAGTATAAGTCATATCCTTGTAACAAGTCTGCTTTCAAAAATACTAGCTAGGATAATTTTTGACATAGGAAATATGTTCAGTTCTCCTTTACCAATGGCTTCTACTCATCAGCTTCTCATTACACAGAAGGAGGCACTAGGCAATCTTGGACTAAACATTATGCAGCACGAAGTTTACATAAACATGACAACACTTCAGATTCAACAGAAATGGCATATTATGGGTCTCATCTACAAAGGAGTTCCATTTGATGGTACCCAGTAGGAGAGCCTTTTCTGACGTGGCAGAATAGATTGGCTACAACCTCGCTGGCCTTTAAGAAGTCCCTAAAGACATTGCTATAACATCAGGCCTTGATTAAGGTTGATGGTTAATTGGTAAAAAAAATTATTTGTTTTATTTTATTTCTATGAGTTTGCCTTTGCTATTTTAACTTGTGAGATGCCATAGCCACATAAATAAAATGGGAAGTTATATAAAATGAATGAAATAAAATTAAAATAAAGAATAATCACAAGAAGTAAGTTTTCAACAAAAGATTCTCTGCAACTATAAGTTTACTGCTATATCCATGTTTCATTGTAAACTTTGGACTAAACTGAAAATACAGTACTACATACAGTACTACATACCACATGCACTACATACCACTTATAGCTGCCTATAATGCTGATTGTATTCTTTGCATCAATAACCCAGGTTATAGGACTCTGAGTCACCACTTGTCGGAGTGTAAAGACATGTTCCCCTGGATCAGAAGCATTAATAAAATATTCAAACACTCCTGTTTGATCAGTAAAGTATGGTGCTTCACTGAAAGGTGGGTTGCCTATTTGAAGAACATAAATTTTATTATTTCAATCCCTCACAGTCATATTATACAAAAGTAGCAATTTCTTAGTTCCCCAAAACTCCACATTATAGTTGTTTATCATCATATGTACTGAAAAACTCATTTTTATTATCTTAACTGGTCATCTCTTCAATGTTATCAAGCTAAATGAAAAAGGTCACCAAGAAGAGTCAACTGAAATCTGTATGTTGGGAAGTCTAGTGGGCTCAGATCTCAGTATTCATGGTTTTTTGTGATTTACATCAAATTTCAAAATTAAAAGGCCGCAGAAAAAAGTTCAATGAACAAGTACATGGACTGCCCAATCTGCAGCTATAATCACCAAGCAGAGCTAAACCTATCATGGATGATTTAATTTGGATTTTTGTTAAAACACGGGATTAGACTTAAAGATATCAATAGATTCTCCCAATTGATATCTATGTTTACTATGATAGGTTTCTGTTCATCTACTATTGGGAATGCTAGAGAACTTATACTATCGATGAGGGCCCTATCCTTGACAAAAATGATTGACAGCCTAGGATCATCAAATTAGAAATTCCCTCAAAATAGCTTTATGATGACTTACGGATATTGAAATCATCTTTGTAAGTGGATGGAAAAGGTTGAGATGGAGGAGGTTCTGAGAAAGAACTTTTATGGCCAGTTGTTAGAGTTGTCAAAGTATAGATCTCATCCAAGCCCAAGTTTAGCATCAATATTCCTTCAGAGATCTGCATAGCAAAAAGGAGAACAAGTGATCAAGTAGTAGCAGTACATATAGGCTAGTTTTTCAGGGTACTGGAAAGGATTCATTCTTGGACCACTGACAAGAATCAGAGTCAATTTGGTCTGAGCTTTAAGGCACCAAGCTAGAAACCAAAGACAGTGAATTCTAGTCCCATCTTAGATATGAAAGCCCACTGAGTGACTTTGGCCTGGTCACTCTCTCTCTGCCTAATTTATCTCAGGGAGTTGTTATCATGGGTAAACGATGTAGAAGAAGGATATATATAGAGAGCTCTAAATAGTTTAGCTGCAAGCTATTATTCCAAGTGCTTTACTATGTTAGCCATGCAGTATTCCCAAATCAAGAATTTACTGGTAGAGTGTAAGGAGTTAAAGGCCAAGTAATTTTTTGGCTTTATACACCACTCAGAGTACACTGGAGTTAGGCATCTGTAATCAATTTAAAATAAATAGGCCTTACACTTTTATCATGAGACATCAAACATATGTATGAAACAGAAGTGCAAAAAAGTATGAAATCACATGCAACATAGGTATCAATGGAAGCTAGTCTCCATCTGATTCAACTCAAACTGCATGTTTTTCTTCATCTGGAGATGGAGCTATGGCTATAGCACAATAACATGCTATATGATTGAAACAATACTACAGCTCTGGGTATTTAGAGTGCTCATATTTCTTCTCTAAACTCTAGTTGCCTCATTAAAAGCAGAAATATATTGCCTGCTGTGACAAGATACATGCATTTCAGACATGGGAACTTCATAACACTTCTACTTAAAGTGTTACTCTTTTTGTTTCAGAGGCAGCTTTGTAGAAGTAGCATGCAGGCAAATGCTCTTCCTTTGTATACCTTTAGTTCTTCAGATTGACTCTTAAAGGAAATATCCATCAACTATCATAGTCATATTAACCTTTTAACTTATGATGCACTCACATTTTTAGGCCCAAGTGACTGAAATAACGTAGAGTTGAAAGTAGAAAAATCAAGCTTGGAATACCACATCTGAAGAGATTTCAACTTGCTCTGGAGGAGAAAAAAAATACATTCAATTTTCTTTATAGCATCTCAAATCTTTTTTAACTGCCAAAGAAGTCCACTCTTTCCCTCTCTCTCAAACTTTACCACCAGCCCAGCTGTTTTTGTGCTATAGCTCCCAAAATTCCCAGCCAGAGAGAAAGATGATATAGCATGACGTTAAGTAATCATTCTAAGGAGTTAAATTGATTTCTACATAGATGGAGCAATCCTAAATGAGAGGAATTGCCCCCTGTAATACAGGCCTAAATTATCTGTTAACGTTATCTCTCCAGGACATTTTTGTTAACACCAAGTCCTCTCAGTGGCTACAAATCCAGCAGATCCAAGTTAGCTTCTGCAGAGTCATTCTTCTAGAATTTCCCATTCCAAGGTCTACAGAACTTTCTACATATACATATATACACATAGAAGAGAACCTTCATTTCATCAAATCCCCTCTAAGCAGCAGGTTTGCAGAGTTGCATTCAAAGCAGAATATAATAATTTATTTCAGAAATGTGGCAGAATGAGAATATGATTATTTCAGCATTAATATCATTGTATGGATACTTTAGCGGAAATGGCTAAAATTTCTGCTTATTTAAAGGACCATTCACAAGAGAGATATTTTAACGTATGGAGAAGATGGATAGAATATGTTCAGAAGAAATATGGAACTACAAAGTTTCACTTAATGATTTTGTTTATAAACTTATGATGTTAAAGTTTGAAGAGAGTTAAGGGTTTTTATGATTTTGTTCATTGTATAATTAGTAAACTTAAATAGATTATGTTTGCATAATCCTGTATTTTGCTCTGGGAAGTCAGGGGAAGGGGGGAGGGGGGAGGGGGGTGGGAGGTGGATGGGTTGAAGTTTAAGTAGTTCAGATAAAGTAGAAATAGTCTTATTGTATATAATATTAATGTTTTAATTTTGAGAGAGGAACTGCTTGGGCATTTCCCCTGGACCGCATCAAGAGGGAGAAGAAGAAGGTGAGAAGTAAGTAGAAAGGTTGAGATGAAGGAGGAGAGGGGGTGAGTGAAGAAGAGGGAAAGAAGTAAGTTGGTTTGAGGTGGGATGCGGTTTGGGGGGAAATGGGCGGGCAAGACCGAATGTGGTGTGTATCAATTTGTTTTATTTTTTATCTGAAGTATTTGTAAGATTGTTATGTATTGTAAAATTGAAGATAAAATAAAAAAATTTATTTAAAAAATATATCATTGTATGGATGTGTGCAAATCAGACAAACTAATGCAAGTTTTAGTACAAATGGTGGTTTCAAATGAAAGAAAAGAAGTGGATGCAGATTCTTTCAACAAAGTTATCCAAACTAGAATTTTGAGGGATGAACTCCCTTTAACTTCTCTGTACAACAGAAAAAAGAATACACTCAGAAGAAATATGATTTGAGATCCTAATGGAGTCTGCAAATGTTTGACTAGTATGCATCTATTGAATAAATAGGATTCTATTATTTTAAACTTTGGGCAATTATCAAATTAGGCAAGAGCACTAAGTAATATATAAATCCCTACTTTTTCTATGAAAATAGATATATTTTATCGTATCTTTTAAAGCTCTAGATCCTTTGATCACATGTCTTTTAAAGTTACAGATACTCAACAATTTCCTTGGAAAATGTAATTTATGGTACATGCTACCATTCAGCACAAATGTCCAGATATAGAATAGTTGAACTCACAAGATATATTAATGGCCATCAATCTAGATGGTCTTCAAAGGAAACTAATCAAAAGCATGGAGAAGGCTAATAATGTCCATTAGTCAGGATGACGGTGTATTCATTTCAGCATCAGGGTTATTGTATCTCTACTAATTACTAAATAGAACACGAGCAATAAGACGCCACTTTGCTCATATCCTCTTTGTGGGCTACCCACTGGTATCTTTTTAGCCACTGTGAGCTACTGAATATGATTAAATTGGCCTTTGGTCTAGCCACCATAGGTGGATTAGGCAGGAGACAATAGCACAGCAGCAGAAAATTAAAACAAAACACAACACTAGGAAGTCAAAATAACAATAATCTAAACAACTTTTTATATAGATTGTAGATATCAGACTACTGAAATTACATAACTTTTTTTAATTTGTCAGTGTTATAATTCATTTTTATGATGAATTGAATCTATTCCATATGAAATTGCATTCTCTAGTCTTGACTCTCTCTTGATACAAAGTTGATTCAAAGTCTCAAAGTTGATAAATTTCATAAAACCAACATTCTCAGTTTGGAATTGAACTACTCTTTCATGTGTAGATGATTATCCTTCTTAATACAATCCAAGCACAATATATCCAAAGTTGTTCAGACTGAACATTTCCACATTTCCATATTTTTGAAAGATAAGGAGTAAAGATATCAATGTATTGTTAAATTAATTGCCTTTAAAAAGATATGATTCACCATGGCTATAATATTTGACCAATAAGGAATTACATATTTACCAACATTCATTCAAATTTATTGCTAATGAAACATATTACTAGCGCCAAACCATTTTTTAAAAAAAAAAAAAAAAAACTTTGAATAACCCTTAAAGCTGGGGCAAGGTAGTAAACTGCATAAATAATGAATATTTTAACGGTATTTATTGCTATTTAAAATACTTTTTCAGAATCTCAGAAATTTGAAAAAGATTATTACTTAACAATAGATTAAGAGTATCATGAGCTCATGACTTCTAAAAAACTGCTATCCATTTTAAAAGAAAAACTTATACTATAATTATAATTACTATAATTGTCAAGATAAATAACACTCAAGCTGAGCCCGCAATGATATTTATTTAATATTGTTTCAATTCCACTGCATGACTGAGGTTAATAAATAAACCTCATAATACTGTTTAAAATCAGAAAAACAAAAACTATTATCCTTTTACTTCAAAATAAAATAAAATCTGGTTCATATGTCATCAATTCTGCCGCCATTGGTTCCACTTAAATAAAACCAATTAATAAGCTAATGGTTACTTTTTTAATGAATGGAACAAATATCCAGAGTTTCCCTGTTCAAGTTAAGTCTTTATTGGAAAACTGAGTTGTAGCAGACCAGATCACAGGCAACCAAAACATTAGAGCACCATGAATCTGGACTGCACCATATTTATTTGTTCAAGGATAACTTCTGACCAACAGCCAATAAGACTGGGTACATAAGAACAGAACTTGTCCCTCAATTAGTTATATGTAACATTCAATTACATAATCACTTTAAAAATGCCAATCACTCTAATTGCTATGGATACAACCATTGCCTGATCTTGTTTTGATCATCTATTCTCTAAGGCACCCGACAGAGGGATTGAGGTACAGTTCAATTACTTACAAAGGATCCTTTCAAGTGAAAAACTGCTTTTTGGGGTAACACAACATAGGAAGGAAGTGGTGGCCTGATGCACTCTGAGTGGTTATATGTCTAAAAATAAAGAATAAATTGCACAGATCAAACATCACCTCAAAACGCCATTCCTTTTATTTCCATCAGCCAGATTGTATGTGACATTACTTATTTAGATAAAGAGTGTCACCCACATAAAAGTATAATTAGTAAGTTCTATAAAATCGTGAGGCTCATAAAAGTACAAAAAACAATATTTTTAAAAAAAATTTTTTAAAAGAGGGTTGAAAAGAAAAGGAGGGAGGAGAGAGAAATCTCAAGAATATCTCAATGAGAACTATGTTTGGTGACCATGAAATACTGACCACACGGATAAAGGGCAAGAAGAGAAGATTCCCCCCTTCTCTCTCTCTCTCTCTCTCTCTCTCTCTCTCTCTCTCTCTCTCTCTCTCCTAGGACAGTGTTCTCAAGAGGGAATAGGATATAATGCAATATTCTGCAATAATAATTCTGCATGCAACTTATATCCAGGATATCTCCATCAACTGCAGTAGTGTCTAGGAGTGGGGAGGTCCTGGGAACTAGGCTATCCTATCTGACATGCCAAACCAGGATTTGGAAAATACAACAGTAACACACATCAGAAAAGAAAGTTCCCCAGAAAAAAAAATACCCACACGTAATTAGCAGAAACAGACCAGTTTTGCACTGCTGGATCCTTAGAGCATAATGGAAGACCTTAAGATGTAAGACTTGAAAATTGTTAAAGAATATAAAGAACCAATTGTGATTGACAAAACAAAGCATAAACTCCTTATTGTCTACTCAGTCTCTGAAAAAACTCCAGTTACAAAGATGTGGTTCAATATACTATAAATTTGTTTAATACATAAATGAGTAATTTGGTTTTAGCATAATTTATTCTTCAGCCCTGTAAAATATATCAATATAAATTATCCCCAGAAGACAAATTTACTTGTCTAAGCTCTAACAGAACTGAGACTCAAAGAGGGCACTTCTCACTCACAACTCAGCTTAGGGACTATGTTAGACCAACTGAAAAACACTAGTACAATGCTCCTCATAAAGAAGCATTTGTTTTCAAAATATATCAGCAGGTGGCAGCATTTGGCTGACTTTGTGAGGATTCAAAAACTTAACAGTGTTATTGCTTGGATGGGAGAGTATCAGAGACAACTAGGGTTATACGCTATACTGAAAGTCAGGGGGGAAAAACTTGAAACAAAGCAACAGAAATTCATATTCATATTGTTTCCATGAAAACTCCATGGATGCATTCATAAAATTAACAGGAGCCAAAAGCAACTCAAAGACACTGTACTTCCATAGCTTTTGTACTGTTATGCTTCCATAAAGTTTAATGTTTGAAATCAACTCTACATTAGACTTTGCCAAATAACATTACCATTGTTTCAATAATGATGGTCAGATTGCCTAGCCCATCCGTCAGAGCCACAAAGCTTCCACCTTTTTCCAGATGCCCATCTACTTTCAGGTAATACCAGCCTGGTTGTGTAAACTGTGTTGTATGTGCTATTTAAAACAAAAAAAGAGCACTGAAATCTGTTTCAATGGGAGGGGGAATAATAAAGTCAACACAAAATGGCATATAGAAAGATAGCTCAATTGCCCTACAAGCAAGCAGTCATCTCTCTCTGACTGTAGTACCTATACATAGTTACAACTCAAACAAAGGTTCAGGAATAACTTCTTATAAATGGGTATGGATTTGATTCAGAAGAGCTCCTTCATAATGTGCAGGATCATGAATGCAACACCAATCTGTGACTCAATCAAACTACTGTGGTTTACACCAACAGTTCACAACCTGTGCTCTCCGGCTATTGCGGATTCTATTGCCTATAAATCCCAGACAGATCACAGATATTGTAAACTGGAAGGCTCCAGGTTAGGAAAGATCAGTCCTGATTGTCAACCTTCTGAATGAAAAAGTATTTTGAATGATTAAGTAATACAGTAAGAATAACATATATTCTTATTCAATTCACACTTTTTTTTCATAAAGTTATGAGCTTATTAAAATGTAAGCATCAGATCAGTATATCTATAGTCTGAATTCAAAACCTGAGTCAATTTTGATAAGACAAAATGTCTGAAATATTTTCAAATCAACAGTAGTTCTATGAAGCTACCTCATTATGCAAAATTTTGCACATATGTTGAAACAAAATTGTTTTAATCCATGCACATTCTCTTATAACATTTAGTAAGAAGCTACGTGTTATTCATTTAGAAAGATTTGTATTCTAGTGTATTCCAACAAGTATTACGATTTAAAAGAGCTCAACATGCATTTAAAAGAGCTCAACATGCATTTAATAACTAGAAAAGTTTATGTCTAATTTTAAAAACATACCTGTGGCCCATATGGGAGAATTCACAGAGTAATGCCCACTCCATGGTTCTTGTGCTGTCATTAAACCACACCTTCCAAAGGGTAATTCTTCATAGTAACTAGCCACTAAATTCCAAGCAATAGTGCTAAGAATGAACAATAAGAAAAAGAAAGGAAAATTATTAATTATATTCCATTATTCCTAAACCAAAATCTTGAGAGGCATCTTACAGGAGATAGCAGCAACCATTAATAAAATCTCAATAAATAAATATATGAATAAATAGAGAGATAGTTACCAAAGGTGAAAATATTGAAACAGACTAAGCTTAAAGAGGTATTTATCTGCCTTTCAGTCACTTCTGAAACTTTTCACTTGATGGTAATAGTGCAACAAAATTGAAAGTAAGGGACTTCACAGAGATTTATACAATTAAATGGTTAAGCAAATGTCCACCCATTTCATTCAACCCAAGAGCTACTATAGCAGGGGTGTCAAACTGCCAGCCCACGGGCTGGTTTCATCATACCAAAGCCGCACCCACTCCATTGCTGGCAATGCAAAAAGAGTCACGATACGTCGCAACACGTCACATGATGTGGCGAGTTTGACACCCGTGTACTATAGGTTGATCAATCAAGCACAACATAAGTATTTACCAAGTCATATAGTAAGAAACTCTTTTACAGAGGGGATATCTGCAGAATAAATGTTCTTGTTATGAACACCTCAGCTTTAGGGAGGAAAAATAGTTGGTCCAGGTTTCATGCACATAGTGATTTCATTTGTTAAAAATTGATTCAATGTCACTGCCAAAAGAATTAAGCAAGATTTTCACAATATTATAGATACACATATATATTGTCATGAAATACATTTTTATATCACCAGATATATCGACACATACGCAGTCATGTTCCCATTTACATAATTTTGATTCAGGATTCGAGCCCAGCAACCAGCGCCAACTTCATTGTTGAAAGTACTGTAGTCTTCAGAAGACCAGAGTTTCTTTAGAGTTAATTGAGCATTTTTCACTGTTTGTGTCCCTGGGTAGTGAGCCCTAGACAGAAAAAATATATATACGTGCATTTGATTAAGTAACATTCTAGAAAAGTTTGTAAGGCATGATGTCTTTTAATAATGATATTCCTCAGGGCTTCAATTTTTGATGATTATATGGAAAATTGGGAATCTCAACTAGTTTTAAATAACTCATAGGTCTTTCAAGGGCAGTCCAGCAATCTCTTTTACATTTACAGCAGTAGTAAATCCGTGACATAGAAAATAAAACTGTTCATCCATAAATTCAGGAATAACACTTAAAGGCTACCATTTACAATGTGAATGATTAGCATTTATCCAGCATTTTAAAAGTCAGACATTTTTTTAAAAACCTGAAGAATAAATCAGTATAATAATCCCTGGATTGCAGTTGGTAAGTCTTAGCCTCAGGGGTTTGTTTGTTTGTTTGTTTGTTTTTATGGCTATCCAATAGGATCAAAGGAAAGACAGAATTTTTAGAAAGGATTTCAGGATTTCACTTATTTACCGATACAGCAGGATTCTCTCATTATTATTGAGCAGAATTTAGAGACCTAAATGTCTCAATGCTTTTGATTTATGTATCTTAAAACATGATTCTAGATCCTTTTGAAATGTAGAGATGCAAAATAACTTAGATCTCTATCTTCATTTAAGAACTAATATACTCTGAAGTCTAACACTTGGTACAGAAATCTCTGCTATGGACAGTCTTGTCAATCTAACCTAAATCCTTCCAATAAAATATAAGAGACTTAATATCTACCTCTTAAAAAGTTATATTTAAAGGTCTTTTAAAAATTGGGACCAGCAAACATTAGAGATAACTATGACTAGGACTTTCTATTGGTTCATATGTTTTGATGAAAAAAAAAATTAGAACAGAAGACCACTTTAGAATTTTCTTCCTTTTTTCAGCAAATACACAACAATTACTTTCATCTTCCAGCGACATTCCTGTTTACACTATGCAAGCAAAGGTCATCTTCTGTCCCTCTCATTTCTGCTGCTGATTTAATGTCTTAAGATTAAAAACACCTTGTAGCTTAATCTTTTTTCTGTATCCCACCTTCAATTATTTAGAATTAATAGAAAGCTTAAAGATGCTGGCCAGCAGTTTCCCTTTGTCAATCTTGCTAGCAGCTGTTCTTTTTCTCTCTCAAGTTGGTAGAGCCATTTTTCTTTCATCATCTTCAGTCTTCTTAGTGATCCTTTGTGAAAGGTATTCTCTCCTCCTCCTCCTCCTCCTCAAATTTGGCAGGTCTTCCCTAGATTTCTCCTCCTTTGCTTCAAGAGGATTTAAACTCTCCTCAAACCAGCACACCAGAACCAAAAAAGCTTTAGCAATGTACAGTACCTAGCCCATTTTAGGTTTACCAGACATGTGTTTTCCTAAAACCAACAACCAATCTTCAACAGCCGGAACTGTCTTCCATCATCTTAGATGCCAGTCATTACACATCTCCATGAAGTTCTCTCCCAGATCTTCTTCCCAGAGTTCATCTGATGATTTTTAATCTTTCACTTTTAATGTCATCAGAATAGCTCTTCCTTTTTCTTTGGAGATATTTTTCTATGGGAAACTAAATCATCCCTATTCTTATCTAATAGCTAGAAGCACTTGCTTGATTTCTATGTAGATATGTAAATAGCCAGCAGGAAACCAGGACTGAATGCAAACTATTATGATAACCATGTACAGAAGACAGGTGAAGCAACTTTTACTCAATGGAGAGCCACTGAGGTGCTACCTCAGCATACGTCTATGGAGATGCTCACTCATCCAGGTCCTGGTTGCCCCAAAGGTGCTTTTTAAAAGGCAACTGGAGTTTGTTTTTTGCTTGAAGATGTTTTGCTTCTCATCCAAATAGCTTCTTTATTTCTGAGTGAATGGTGGGGAATGGAAAGATTTATATTCTTTGCAGAGGTATGATAAATCCTTCCATTCCCCACCATTCAATCAGAACTGAAGAAGCTTCTTGGATGAGAAACGAAATGTCTTCAAAGAAAAAAAACAAAGAAAGTCCAGTTGCCTTTTGAAGACTACCTCAACGTATCATCTGAGTTGAAACTATATAATTGAAACTACATCTCCCATAAGATCTAGGCAACATGGCCTACAATTGATTACAGAAAATATAGTCCAAATATTTGGGAGACACAAGGTTTCCCATCTCTTTTAAATGGCAAGAAATATGTTTCTATCTAAAATCAATAACTTGAACTGGGAAAACTCTTTCCATATTTCTCAACACACAACTGTGACCATAGTTGTACAAATGTACCAACAAACAATGAAACTATTTGGGGAAGAGTAATTTTGAGCAAAAATAGGCAAAAAGATGTCTCCAGTTTTCTGTTCCAATCCCTTCTTCGAATATTATACATATGTTAAATCTCATGAATTCAGGTAAGCCTTACTTAATCTCCATTCATTCAGTGATTTTGAAATTCTGATGGCACTGTATGAAGGTCCTCTTAAGTTCCAGCTGTTGCAGCACCCCTGCGGTTATGTGAACAAAATTCAGGCATTTGGCAACCAGCTTGTACTTAAGACTGATCACAGCATCTTCACAGTCCTTACCTTAGAGTCCTGCTATTTCCTGCTTAATAACCTACGGGCAACTAGGACTATCTGGATTGCTGTTGCTAAACAATGTGATCACTTAATACTGTACATTACGACCACATCACTTAGTGATGGCAATCCCAGTCCCAATTGTCATAGTAACTCCTCACTATCTGCATAAGAATCTCAAGGGAATAAGTAGCCTGAGTATTGCAGTGAACTCTCCTATACAATATTGCCAGTTTCTGACAACAGTACTCAATGCTCTATGGATAAAAGCACAAGAAATCAAACGTAAATGAAAAAAAGAGTGTCAAGGATGCAGTCATATTTGCATATGTCATTTGACACTTTGGAAGCTCACAAGTCTAAAGATTGCAACTACTTAATATTCCAGAAAGATTTTTTTCCCCCAAAAAAGGTGCTGCCTATCAGAAATGACTGTGAGGGGTTATGAGGAAGAATCAGCTTTGAAAAGATGCCCTACCCAATAATATTGACTGCTTCATGGAGCTCAGAATCATTGAGCATGTAAAAGGATATTGGTTCCCAGAGGCAATCGCTGGCTATGATCTGCACTCGCTGAAGGTCTTGCTTATCCAAAGAGTACCTTAAAATCTTTTAAAATAAAGAGACAAGAAAAGTAGCATTTTATTCATTTTTATTTTATTTATTAAATTTTTATGCAACCCATCTCTCTGCCAAGCAACTTTTTCCCACCACTTGTAAGAAATAAATATTTAAAAAGCCAAAATGTGCAATTTATTTTGCCGATGTCTAGATACAAAGCAGATATTTCTCTCTCTCTATGACAGCTGCATAAATGTGAATAGCAATAGCACTTAGACTTATATACTGTACTGCTTCACAATGCTTTAAACCAGGGGTTCTCAACCTTGGCAACTTTAAGACGTATGGACTTCAACTCCCAGAATTCCTCAGCCATGGAGTTGAAGTCCACAGGTCTTAAAGTTGCCAAGGTTGAGAACCCCTGCTTTAAACCCTCACTAAGTGGTTTACAGAATCAGTATATTGCCCCCAACAATCTGGATCCTCATTTTACTGACCTCGGAAGGATGGAAGGCTGAGTCAATCTTGAGACAGTGAGACTCAAACCGCTGAACTGCTGGCAGTCGGCAGTCAGCAGAATTAGCCAACAATACTGCATTCTAACCACTGCGCCACCATGGTGCTTGAAGTTAAAATACCTATAGCCATTTGTCTGCCAAAGGGGAAAATAGAGCAAGATGCCATTCTCTTCAGTAAATTGCTTCATTTCTAAAAGTTTTAAATGGACATAGTTCATAACAGTCGCTTTGGACAGTGAGATGGGTTGCATATAAATTAAATAAATAAATAAATAAGAAAGCTCCATGGACATGCTGGGGAAACAAAGAGACAAGCCTCATTCCCAAACATAACCAAGGAATATCTCCTGCAGCAAGATTTAAAAAGTCTTTTCTAGGCAAATACCTGTCATTTCAGATGCCAGAATAAAAACATGTTGAAGAATAAACGAATCAGGGCAAGATCCAATGTCTGCTCACATAACAGAATGTTCTCTCTTCCTTCCCACTGTGGTTTGCCCACTCCAAATTTACCCCAGAAGTTTCTTCCAACTCAGAGAACAGATGCTAACGATGCACATGGAGACAGAGGAAGAGAAAATAATTTTTCTCTTCCAGTGATGGATTTGAGATTATCGATAGGATTGCAATTTGAGCCAACTTTATAACGTGCACATACTGTAGACTGTGACAAATGAATCTGAGACTTGATAAACACTGAAATATCGGAATCAAATGAGATAATGTCAAGAAAAGTATGCAACACTCTAAAAAACAGAGCAGCTAAGGTAACAGGGGAACAGGTAAATTCTAGAAACTTTTAATACCCTACTGCATTTTGTAACTTTTAGAAAAGAAAATGTTTTCTAAAAGGCGAAAAAATATTTTTTTCTACCTAGTAAAATGATGCTGTATATCCAATCAATGGTATTTACAAAAAATGGCATTTTAAAATTTGATAAGATTTTCAATAATTGTCTCTATGTGTGTGCACGCGCGCGTGCATGTGTGTATGGTAAATGAGCACTAAATAAGCGTGATATTGAACATCTAGTGTACAGGTTCGGGATAATGCTGGATCTGAACTCTACAATAACCTCATTATCATTTTCATATCCAGGGAAAATGTTACACAGTACTTCAGTGTTAAATAATGACAAGCTTGATGGTAAAAATTTCAACTATCAATGAGTTTTTGCTTACTTATTTTAGTATTATTATTTTGAAGCTCTGAAGTGATGCTGCAACTGATATTCACCCATTTGTTCACCCATAATCAGTAGCAAATGGTGGTCTTGATGAGAAGCCAAGCAGCTATCTAGACTGCCAATTTTAACTTTCCTCAAATGCAGTGTCATCAGAAGACCCTGCATTTGGGAAAATCAGAAGAAAGACAGGCACCCTGCTATTTATAAGTGGTGATTATCTGCCCCATGAATTGGGGAGGGGGGAGAGACAACTATCAGCCAGAATAATTCTAACAATTGTAAATGACAATGATAGCAATGACACTTGGGAGATTGATCATGACAAAGGTTGTATCAGCTTTAGAAGCATATCTGAAATTTCTAAGTTTCTATTTTCTACTTCTATTCTTAAGAAAGAACAGAAAATCAAACTACATAGATTATGATCCACAGCAATTTTTAGCATTTTATAAATGCATAAGCATAAACTTTCATTTATAAATTTTCAAATTTTCAGGTATAAATATTGTGGTTATTATTTAACAAACTGCCACCATTTCTCAAAAAACTCATTTTTAATAGAAATGAGTTCCACTTTAAATGTCTTAAAATTTATCCACTGTGCAATAGCCCTTTGGGTGCATACAGCTACTCTCTAACGGTTTAGGTAAGTCAATAAGTTAATTAATGTGGCACATCTAGCTTATTACTAGACAACTCATTAGATAGCCATAAAATCAAATCACTGAGAATATAGAGAATAAAATTAGATGATACAGTTTAGCAAATCAGACATGAAAATTATCATTAATAATCTCCAGGCAATGTGTTATCTTTTAAATGCATAATGTACAGCACAGTCCTGCATGTCTGGTATTCAAAGCAACTATTATATAGATAAAAAAGCAAAATGAATATATTAAAAATACCACCACAAATAGATCAGCAACATAAAATAAAACAAAAAATGTATTTTCTTAAGCTACAATTGCTGAAAAGGCCAAGCAATTACAAGAAACTTCCTCAGAATTCCTATTGGTTCCTTAGAGATAATCAATAATGTTTTAACATTTCACACAATCCTATATATACAAGTGTATATTAACAATTCTTAGACTTTATGCCCCTAAAGATCAGCAGTGGAGGTACTGAGAATTCTGTATAGATATGAAGCCTTCGGTTCTTAGGGTACCCATAGGAAAGTTACTATTTAAGAAGCATCTGTAAACAAAAGCCACAAATTTACAGATGATAGCAGAAGGATGTTGGTATCCTATTAAGCTACAGCAAATAGTCAGCTGGAAGTGAAACTAGGTGTAGGACCGGAAAGAAATGGTACTATAGCTGATGCATAAGAAAAGCAGGATAATCAAGTAAGTGTCCAAATTCTAATTAATACAAAGCTTTACATACAATAAAGGAATCACTGTTCCTCTGTATTTCCACTTACCCTACTATCTCAACTGCATCATATAGATAAGGATCGACTAGCACTTGACTTGCAATGTCCCAATTTCCATCTGCAGCAATGATGCCAAGGGTCTTTAAACCCACTTTGTCCAAAGTTTTGCGAAGTACCTTGGTAACAGATAATATTACTTGAAGTATAATTTTCATCAACTAAGGAGCATGACATTACCTTAAAGGAACAAATAAGGACACGGCAATCTAGTTCTAAAACGCTTTGTTAAAAAGCTAAATAATATATGCTGTTGGCTTGCCTAGATTCCATAGTCCTCAGTAGAAATTGTGCACTTTTTGGTGATAATCAATTAATAAGAAGCAATGATGCTTGTATGACACTGGCTATTTAATATACAGATCACAGCCAAACAAAGCGGCAGTGATTCCAAGACACACATAAAGAAATTTAGATAGCACATGGGACTAAAACCTATTGATCTACTAGCCCAAATTTATTTTATAAATTATCAACTTATAAAATAAAAAAAAGTATGTGCTACATGAAGTACCTCAAAGGGTACCCAGATGGCATCAATATCAATGACACCTAACCAGGACTCATTTTTTATTTCAGAATTGGAGCATTGACCATTTAATATGAATTTAATACTTAACCTGACCATTAAGAAGTACATCTTGAACTCAAGAATTTGAGAATTCATTTAAGTATCTTGTATCCTGCTTTAAAATAAAAGATACACTAAATCACTATCAGTGTTCTACACAGAAGTTCCCCAGAAATATTAAGCTTATTTTACTTACTATGTAATAAATTCCCATTTTAAGCAAGATAGTAGTTTGTCATAGACTGTACAGAAAAAGTGATGACTGCTAAGAGGTTGGTCGTCTCAACAACAAAAAAAGTCTTGTTGGAGAATCAACTGTCCCAGTTGGAAGGAGGGCTCAAGCAGGGAATTAGTTTGGGCCTGTTGTGTAAACACAAAAGGGCAAAGTCTGACCCCTCCCTCCCAAATACGTTTGAACCTTATCTAGTCTTTCCCAGATGAAAGACTGGAGAGATTCTTGTGGAATAGACATAGAACAATAAGTAGCTAGTTTTAACTCTACATGTGTGGGTTTGGTTGTTTGTGCCTAACATCACTTTCCTAAACTTAACAAAGAAAACAAAAATAACTATGACACCTTAAAAATTCTACATACTTATCAGTTAATTTTGCAAATTTTTGTGTATTAAAGATTTTAAAATCAAGTTACTGTTGAATCTCTTGGAGATATGATATAGGAGTTTGAACATTTTATTTATTTTAATACTAACATTTATATGCTACGTCCTCACACTCCAATGACACAAACTCACATGATGTGAATTTCTCTTACTTTCCCCCTATTTTGCTGTGAAAGTAAAAGCATTGTCAACATGACTCTTGAGCAATTAATTGCCTGTCAAGAGCACACATGTTCAATTGGCTACATCCCTAGATGTACAAAGACAGGAAGATGACCTTGACAGAGATACACGTTCAATGAAGGAGAAAAACATGGCTTAAATCTAAAACAAGGAGAAAATATAGGTAGTCCTCAGTTATCAACTGCAATTGGCAATTATCTACCAGCAGCTCTGTTACTAAGCAGAGTAATTGTTGATCACAATGTCACATGACCGCACCAAATTGCAGTCATTATGTGAATCACTGCAGGTTGTTAAACATGATGTCATGTGACCACAACTTGAGACTTACTGGTGGCTTCCCCATTGGCTTTGCTTGTTGGAAGCTGGCTGCGAAGGTCATGGTGATCATGTGACTGAGGAACACTGTAACCATCGTAAATGCATTCTGGTTGCCAAGCAGCTGAATTGCAATCACAGGACTGCAAGGATGCTACAATGGCCATAACTTTAAGGACCAGTTATGTCTCATTTTTCCATACCTTTGCAACTTTGAAAATCATTGAATGAGTGATCAGTAAGCAAGAACTAGCTTTATGCATAAGTGGCTCAGACACACACACCTCCATAATTCACATGGAAATTCACAAGGGAAGAGGCACAATCACACTTGCAAGATTTTGTTATTATTGTGATTCTCAGAAGTAGTCCATCTTCCTGTAGAGTTGAAGTTTGCTCTGGTCTATTTGGTGGGGTTACACCAATGTCTAAAATCTATCAAAGTATCTTTTTTTTTTTTTTGCCCAGGTGCAAAATTGTAAAAATTTTGTAATGTACAACACCGAAACGATAACTTTTGTTATTTATAAAAATAATAAAGGCAGGATACAAAATTCACGAATACTGAAGTTGACTGTTGATATATGTTGTTTATCTTATTTAGACAAACAAATCTTTTTTAAAAAATGAAATTGGGGGGAAGCTTTTTGGGAGGAAGCTATGACACAAATGTTCAGGGTCCCCTTAATGTAATATTAACAATTTAGATTTTATTTATTTGATTATAAATGGGATAGGTCCATGTCCTCAAATAACCTGGCCCCAAGCCATACAGCACTTTAAAGGTGATAACCAACACCTTGAATTGATCCTGGAAAAATATTAGGAGTTCAGGCAGCAGCAGTATGGCACAGGCAAAACAATACCGTGCCCCAACTGCACACATCACTGCATTCTGGAGAAACTGAAGTTTCCAGGTGATCTTCAAGCCTAACCCCATGTAGAGTGCATTGACTAGAGCAGAAGTGACAATGAGGAAGGCTTCCCAATCCAGGTATGGGTGCAACTGGTGCCCAAAATGAATCTCTACAAAGCTCCCCCACCCCAGCCATGGCTGCCATCTGCTCCACAAGCAAAAGCTATAAGTCTAGCAGGACCCCCCAGACTGTATATCAACTCTGTCCAGGAAATGAAAAACTTGTAGGGAAGGTTACAATTGTGATCATTTAATCATAAGACATTGCAACCATCGTAAGTATGAGTCAACTGACAAGCACCTGGATTGTGATCCTATTACCAAGTGGATTGTGTGCCAGCCAGAACTTCAAGGACTGGTCATGAATATCACTCATCATCACCACTGCAAATTCAAACTGCAGCTGAACAAGTGGGTGATAACTGAGGTCTACTATATATGGAAATATAACTGAAGTTGCAAATTTACACTACCCATTCCTGAATGGCTTTGGGCAATGTAAGTCTGCCTTGACTCCAATGAAAAATTGTTCTAAAATAAAAGGCCCTTTAATAGAGAAAGAAGAATTTATTGTCAATTGTAGATGTACTTGTGGTGAGACCTAAAAGATGTTTTGTAAACCGGAAGTTTACAATAATATAAGCTCATGAAAGAAACATTTACACCACAACAAGGACCTTAAATTGCATTCATAAAACAAATGGCAACCAATATAGCTTGTTCAACACAGGTGAACTATGAAATGCCATTGTACACACCTGCTGCCACAATCTCCAGCCAGCTGCAATTTAAATTACTAAAAAATTAAATAGCTAATCTCCCCCACATATTTCAAATTACAGAGATCTCCCCTTAGGAATTAGGCAAGTGCCTATAGCCTTCAGGTCCAGTCACTTACTATCAAATATTCATCTCTTTTACATATTCCATAGCCTTACATTTTAAGTCTTATCTAAATTTGCCAAAAATTGGTTATCTCTAAAGTTGATACGTATGTTAAACTGTATATTTTCAAAAGCAAATAATGAATTCAACTCCATAGTAGAAACTAACATAGACATATTTAAATGTACAAGTGTTATAAAACTGAAATTGTATCTAATCAAAATAGGAAATCTTTCTTTTAAAACCTAATCATTTTTCAAGATTAAGTTCTGTAATGTCCTTCAAGCTATGCAATCAGTTCTGTAATACATGAATATTATAAAGAAATAATTATTATGCCTTCTTTTCTAGATTCTAGATTCTGTATCTAGATTGTAGATAAAAGTTCCTAGATTCATCAGTCACTGAAGGCCCAAGCCCTATGCACAGCTAAGAGTGCTTAATGTCAACTTGGATAATAAACCACCTGGGTATTTTTCTGAAGAGGGAGAATCCAGCTACAATTGTTTATGGGCTCATAGCTTCATCCATAAATCATTCCAAGGTATTCAGCATAAAACTGTTCTTATACTTGGTCCACAATCTGCAGCTGTCTCGTGCAGCAACTAAGATGGCTAAGTTCCTTCATGGCTGTTAGTTAGCTACTAAGCCCAGATCATATTTCTAGCTATTACATTCAGGGCCCTAAACAACTTGGGATCAGAATACTACCTTTTGAGCCAGTAGTATGATGAGCAGACACTAGTGAAGGCACTCAAATTGAGAATACTTCAGCTCAAATGTCACATAAAATGAACATCATTACGTTTTACTTTCAACGTTCAGTCAGTGTTATATGCACAAAATGGCTCAGATATTATTAGTGAATAGGAAAGCATGCAAATGTAAAGCAGATACAAAAGTAATATTTTTAGTACACATCAATTCATGCAAACAGTTATTAGTTTTTTACCTGAAGTCAGGTAACTCTATTTTTGCTCTGCTGCATAATTTTGTTCCATGTTAAAACAAGAATAAGATTCCTACTTGGTTAAATAAATAAAGGATAGTAGTTGACATACCTTGATATATTTGCTGTTAAAAGATCGTTCATTCCAAATCTTAAATAAAAAAGGGAAGTTTAAAAGTGTTATAATGTTGCTTAAAAACTAGTAATAAAATCTAATTGCCATCAAAACTAGAACAAGAATTACAAGAAAATGCCACTAAATTCAGTTCCCAATCTCAAAGCACAATAACTTGAGTTGCAACCCTAACAATTAGAGAATGAAGCATAAATGGAACAGTTGAATATCTCAGCCAAGTCTGCATAACTAGGTCAGTGTTTCTCAAACCTGACAACTTTAAGAGAAGTAGACTTTTAACTCCCAGAATTCCTCAGACAGCATCTTGTTGGGGAATTCTTAAGAGTTGAAATCCCTACTTCTTAAGGTCACCAAGATCAGACAATACTTCTCTACGTCATTCACAACACATTAAAAAAAAAAGATGTTCTCTTTAAGTTTGGCACTAGAAGCCCTGTCCTCTGTTCCAGTGAGAGACAAAGTCTTATCAGGAATATCCTGCCCGTGAAGATCCTCTTTGTTTAACATGTCTTTTTACTGTTTTCCAAAATATAATGAACTACTCTAAGCGTGCCATCACTTATTTCTTAGATAATAATTGAGGTTGCATTGTTATTATTGCATCTTTTTTAAACACTGATTTTTTTAATTTTATATTATATTCTGCTCTGGGATATAACTTTGTTCTCAAACCAAGAACTCAAACTTAAAATAAAAATCAAAACTGACTGTTGTCATAGACATTCATACTGCAGCATCTCTGACCTTGATAAAGTCTCAAAAGTAGGCACACATTGTCTACAAAAATGTCAAATTAAATTCCACTCTAGAGTCTCTAAAACAGTCTAACTCCAAAGGGAATGCCTGTGAGCAACTATAATCTTGAAAGCTTTTTTATCATTAGTGATTGGCAAATAATAAGTGGATAGCCTGCCAGCCTATTATATATCCAGAAGCACCTTTCTCAAATTCAAAGACTCATTTTCAAATATTACAAAAAATCCAAGTTTAGCATGTCATGAACAAATCTAGACTAATTTCAAGCTTATGCCATGTATCTACGTACTGTATGTATGTATGTATGTATGTATGTATGTATGTATGTATGTATGTATGTATTTACATACTAATATGGCCACCTATCTCATGCAATTAATCTAGGCTGCTCACAACAATCCATAAAACCTAACTTAAAAACAAAGAATATCCTTCTCCTTAGCTGCCAGACCAAACATTCTTCCAGCTCAACCCCACCCTAGCCCAAGCTTAGAGGAAGAGCCAGGTCTTCATGGCCTTCAGGAACAATTAATCAGTGGAATAGCTTGCCTTCAGAAGTTGTAGGTACTTCAACAATGGAGGTTTTGAAGAAAAGACTGGACAGCCACCTAACTGAGCAGAGTCTCCTGCTTGAGCAGGGGGTTAGATTAGAACACCTCAAGGTCCTTTCCAGCTCTATGTTGATTGACTGAAAGCTGAAAGGGTAGGGATCCCTTAAATCTAGATGGGAGGCTTCTCTAGATGGTTGGGGTAAAGGAAGGCCTCTAAGGTCCCATCATGTGACAATATTTAAGGGAGGGGATCTTGAGTGGGGCCATCTTATCTAACCTAGTAGCATGGACAAATATTGTCCCACAAGTAACCCAATACTGTGCTCCATAGGCCTCTCATGTTTTAGCAAAAGGACATGGATTATCTGGCCTTCTCCACTTGGCAAAGTGATATGTTTTAAATCCAGTCTGTATGTAGACTAATTAAACAGCTCAGAATTGCTTCAGATAGTGAGATGGGCAGCATATAAATTTAACAATAAACAAACAAATAAACATCTGTGAAATTTTAAAAGGCTACTTTGAATCAATCAGTTGCATATAATCTACATAATTCTAAGCATTCAAGAAAAGAACATGACTTACTGGTATGAAGATTCTTCTCTGCAATTAGTATAAAGTAAATAAAGCAATTTATTTACTAGACAAAATGCATATTAGTATAAGTCCAAATTCACTTTACTAGTTCAATTGCCTTTTATATTAACTTTTATTTTACCTTTCCAATTATGTCCTTTGACCAAATCACCCACAAATAAATTGCTTAATGCAAAAAAAGGGGATTAAAAAAACACTTGGTAAACATATTTATATTATAAGCCATGTGGTGCAAGTTGTATTTAATTTTTAACAAAAAACAGAATGTAAGGAAAAACTCCTCTACTAACCCCAATGTAATCAATGTCCAAATCATGATATTTTTTAGCACCTATAATCCAGGAGACAATATAATAAGCAGTGACATCTGGGTACTCATAAGGCCAACTCGTACCCCTGCCAATCCATCCTGGAAAAGCCCAGGGCAAGCCTGCAAGGGGAAGTATAAAGAAACAAACAAACACAATGGAAAATTATGCGTAACACATCAACTTCACAGAGCTAAAAAATTTTTTTTTAAATGTCGATAATGTGGGGGGAAAGACTTAAGTACTAAATGGTCAGAGTTATTGTAGAAAGAATTTAATTTATCCACATGCTCTAGGATCTATACAATAATCACTAGATTCTATACATTTTTACTTCCTTTTTCTATAATGCTAGTGTTATAGTTTGCATTATTATTAACAGGATAATTCACTGAATTGGAAGAATTAGTGGTAAAAATAACTGCTAACAAGAGCTGGATGGAACAATGAAGAGAATTAAGAACAAGCTGATAAATAGGAGTGTATTTTTCCAAACCTCAAAGCCCTGGTTACATTTGTTGAAAACTGCCATATTGTGCTTGAAAGTAGTTGAAAACTGTGTCATAAACATTACTCCTGCCTTTATTTTATTTATAAAAGCCCTGAAAACCATTGTTTCTCCCAGGCCGTGGGATAATTGAATGGTGGGGTCCTTTAGAGAGATCTTGTCTACATGGGAGCATTTTGATTCTTCTGTATAAAACTATCTTCTTCTTCTTGTGCCATATCCGTTATCGCACGTTGGCGATCATGTTAATTAACCTTCTGTTAATTGTTGTCTTTATCTTTTCTTTTCAATATTGTGAACCATCCAGACTAATTTTTTAATTGGGAAGCCTTATAAATTCTACAGGCAAACAAACAAACATGACATGTGTAATGAGGCCCCACCTACTCTTGTGGTTCCTCATTCCTCTCATATGCCCCTTGGCAATGAGTTGATTAGAAGTCAGGGAAATGAAGATGAGCTAGAAACAGAGAAAGAATGAAAGGGGTCAAATGGTAGACAAAATAGCTGAAGAATGGGATCAGACACATATTATAGATAAGCAAAAGACCAATGATGAAAACAGTTGATTAAGAAAAGAATCAATAGACTGCATAGCGTCACCTCTATTTGCCAGCAGAACAGGTACTGCTAATAAGTCTTCACAGATCTGCTTGAGAGATAGAAGATCAGAGAGAAATGCAAGGGGATAGGGAGAAGGATATGAACAGAAAGCACGACGGCAGTAATAAAAGTTCATTCAGTTGATGCCGGATGTAATTCAATGATGAAGTTATTAAAAATACTTTTCTTTGTTAAATGATTACTTGTGTTGGTAGATAGTTTTAACTTCCTGAATTCCAATCTGAGTGTATTTAAGACTGGCATATCTATGTATACATATTATTTTTCAAACTTTTTTCATTCAGACTCCTTCCCGCTTTCATATATTATGGCATTTTCCAAAAGAGCTTTTGTTTATATGGGTTATATAGGTGGTCCTTGTTTAACAGCCATTTGTTCAGTAAGTGTTCGAAATTGTGACAGTGCTGAACTGTGAATAGTACTTACACCTGGTCCTAAAAACTTACATTCATTGCACCACCCAACAGTCATGTGACCAAAAATGAGCACCTGGCAGTTCACCCACATTTGGGATCACAGGATGCACTTCAACTCCCTAATAATAATAATAATAGTAAAGTTGGAAGGGACCTTGGAGGTCATCAAGTTCAACCCCCTGCTCAGGCAGGTAACTCTATACTGTTTCGGACAAATGGCTGTCCAGTTTCTTCTTAAAAACTTCCAGTGTTGGAGTATTCATCGCTTCTGGAGGCAGGTTGTTCCACTGGTTACTTGTTCTAACTGTCAGGAAGTTTCTCCTTAGTTCTAGGTAGCTTCTCTCCTTGATTAGTTTCCACCCATTGCTTCTTGTCCTGCCTTCAGGCGCTTTGGAAAATAGCTTGACTCCCTCTTCTTTGAGGCAGCCCTTGAGATATTGGAACACTGCTATCATGTCCCTCTTCGTCCTTCTCTTTATTAAACAAGACATACCCAATTCCAGCAACTGTTCCTTATATATTTTAGCCTCCAGTCCCCCTCTCCATCTATCTCTCCTCCTCTGGCCTTTCGGCCACCTGCATGCCTCTGCCCCTCCACCAGGCATGCCTCATGAGCAGCAGGAGGAAGAAAATGGCGAAGGGCAGCTGGGATGGGAAGTGCTGCGGAGGAGCAAGGCGATAGGCAGGGTGATGGGGACAGCACAACAATGGAGGGCACAGTGGCAGGGCAACAGGGGTAGTGGAGTGCAGGGCAGCCAAAAGGGCAGAGATGGGGACAGACAGGCGGATGTGGGGAGTTGAAGTGTTCCGTGAAATTATAAAAGTGGGTGGGCTGCTGAACACCCAAATTTTAGTCACATGACTGCAGGGTGGTGCAACTGCCATAACTTCAAGGACTGGATATAAGTACCATTTGTTCAGTGCCTACATAATTCAAGTTTGTTAAGCAAGGAGTAGTAGCCCAAATTTGTTTGTTCTCACATTCTATCAGCTGCATCAATCATATTTGCCTGAAAAGAAGATTGTTTTGATTTTTAATACCATTACTTTCAAAATGCAAACTTAAATTAAAAAATACTTTAGGAGGTATAACACTAAATGTAATTAAGGGCGTATTGTTACTAACAAAAGCACTTTTTTCCAGGCTGCTCCACAATCTTGAAAAAGAGATGATGCTTTAAGGATCAAAGTAAATCTTAAAGCAGCAATATCTTTATTTAAGTTTTCCCAGAAGGCTGAAAAAAGACTTGGTTGCTTTAAAAGAACAAGGAACAAAAAAGCTGTACGTTTCATGCAAAGTCTCAAGCATTTCTCAATATGATGCAATAGGATTGACTCCCTAGAAAGCATATTCTGGCTTACGGCCATCTCAAATTATTTGTTTTGAGCTGGAAGGGATAAGTGACGAGTAATGAGCCAAGCTGGGCTCTGAGTCAAAATGCCCAAGGAGATATCAGAGTCAGGCTGAAGTATGCAGGTCAAGCAGAAGAACCAAATTGAAGCAAGTCCAGACAGGATCTCCTTACTTACAGGTAGTCCTTGCTTAACAACCCTATTTGGGACCAAAATTTCTGCTGCTAAACAATTCAGTTGTTAGGCAAAACATCACATGACTGCACTGCTTAGCAGTTTTAGTAGTCCTGGTTGCACTTGTTAGGCCAGTACCATGCCACGGTAGGACCTCAGGCTTCCCCTGCCCTGCTGTGCTTGCCTGCACTTCATCTATCTTCTCCATTTCTGCTCTTTAGGCCACCCTGCACCCTGCCACCACTACCACCCTGCACCCCACTACCCGTGCCAAGATTGCAGGTGTATTAGAAGCCTCACAAGACTTCAGGATGGCTACGCATGACCTTAGAAAGAGGATGTCACACTGCCAGCAACGGGAGGAAGAAGATAGCAGATGGGGCAACAAGAGTGGTGGAGCAAAGGGCAGCAAAGACAGTGGATCAAATGGTGCAGGGCAGCAGTTGTAGTGATTGCAGGGTGGCAAGGGGCAGTCAAAAGAAAGAGGGGAAGAAAGATGGAGGGGGGGGAGAAGTGTATCCCCTGATCATATATGCAGGTGGGATGCCAAGTGACTGAATGTTGACCATATGATCATGGGGGCACTGCAATGGCCATAACTTCAAAGGCCAAACATGTGTCATTCATTCAGTGTAATACTTCTGAATGTGTTAAGAATATGCTTAACCCCATTAAGCAAGGACTACCTGTATTGTACAGAAAGCAACACAAAACTAGATTTTTTTTGTTAAGGTCCAGAAACCAGTAGACACACGCAGTCCAGGTCTTCCATGTGTGTCAATCAACATTGGGTAGGATATGCAATCTGTTCAGCAGATCCTCCAACAAATCATAGGGTTTGGGATGAATTGCAACATAATAATATGGCTTTCAGAAGAATAGCAAAGTTCAATTTTAGAGAACACTTTTATTTCAGAATGCGGTGTAGGTTGATATCACCATATTCACACATTACTTTGAACCAGGTTAATGGCCAAGAGTACAGATCAATGCTCATGGCTACTTCTCCATCCCAAATAATGTGCCTATGTTCCCTGATTAGATAAGGGACAAAGCGACATACAGGGTTTATTTCCTAGCCAGGAACAGGAAATAGAAGGGGTTAAGTCCTGAAAAGTGAGATGATTGCTGCAAGCATGTGATGAAAACCTCAACCCTTTTTTAAACCTGTTTCTGTTCCTACACTTTGCCATCTAGGATGCAAAGACAGCAACTAGGAATTAGGTTTAATCTGAAATTCAGGTGAGTACAAAATAAAATTATTTATAATTTATAAACTGGATATTTCACTTGGCATTAAGAGATTATAATTAAAAATAAATCACCAAGCTGTTTTCAAATTATGCTATCAAGGTACAAAAGCATCATATCTCAAAGGCCTGCAGTTCTTACCAATCAATTTAATGAAAGGATTTCTCTTTTTAGCTTCTTTCATCAGCCACCATTCATAGCCACGCAAATAATTTTCATCATTTTCATAATGCATGTGGGAGGGTTCAGTGCCATCTAGGAAAGGAAAACAAAACTTATCTTTGTATTTCATTAAATGCAAGACCTTCTACTATTTTTACTCCAGTATATTTCATAAAACATATGAATCTACATTTGTGCAATGAAACGGAATATGAAAACATTATTCAATTTTAGCCCACAAGATAATGTCAAGGGCAAAAGCATTAATACAGGTAAATGTCTACATCACATTCACCTTTATAATATTCATTTTAAAAGCATAATTGTATGACTAACTAGTAATAACAAATTACAAAGCATTTGCTCAGTAGAAAACTATATGTGTCAAGAACAGTCACTCTTTTCTTTTAGAGATAAGTTTCAAAATGGAACTTTAAAAATGGAACAACTGTAAGCATGATACCAAATTTCAGATTGGATTTAGAGTTTTTGTCTATAAACAGTCACTTATAGGTAGTGATGCACCCCAACTGGCAACTTTTAATATGTCCTTTTAATATGATTGCTTTACCACAGGCTAAACTTGTTTTTCCACTTTCCAAGTACCTGGAATAAACTTGTTATAAGGAGGAACCTCACAGTTCTAATAGTTGGCACCATATTTACTTGCTGGAGGTTTTTTTTTTTTAACAGAGAAATTGGCCCTATTTTGTTCAATTAGTGAAATTAATACAATCTTATATGGAGGGAAATAGGGAAAATGCATGTTATATCATGCAAAACTTAAATGAGCAAGTTTGCAAGTATCACTTAGAATTAAGGACCTATTAATACATTGTCTAATATTAACCCAGCACATATTGGGTTATTACAGGATTTCCCATGCATTCCTCCTAGAATACATGCAAGAAAGGAATGCAGGAGTGGATTATAAAGAAACAATTTATTTGCAGAACATGAAATATCAGAACAATTACCCCAAGGGATCCCATTCACTGATACTACAAACTTTTCCTGCAAAACCCAAATTCAAATACCTGTAGACTGTGCATCACCACCAATCTCTACTTTGAGGAGCTGTAACGAAGCACCAAAATTTGGCTTGAAACAAGAGAATAAGAAAGAAAAGGTGTTAATGTTTCTGTTTGGTAAATAACATTCCACTGTTATCACACTCATTTTAATTGATTTTCTCCTAATTAACATGAACTCTGTCTCCTCATGATTCTAAAAAGAATAATTACACTATTTCCTCCCTCCCCACATTTTATGCAAGTGGTAACTCTCTAAATTGGCTTTCCTTCCTTCCTTCCTTCCTTCCTTCCTTCCTTCCTTCCTTCCTTCCTTCCTTCCTTCCTTCCTTCCTTCCTTCCTTCCTTCTCATCAGGGTAATCTTTCTTAAAACAGTCCATTTATTTCTCAAAACATTCTATTGTTTCAGATGGTTCAGCCAGGCATATCCACTCACTAAGTAGGATTCACATATCCTGGTGAATTAATTCACATGGAATGCTAAGATTTAACTACGATTTACAAATCCCAATACCTAGGTCCATATATCAACTGCAAAACTCCAAAAGACTATCTCATGGAAGCAAAAAGTTAGCATTCATAATTTTGATAGCTTCTAGGATATTGCCTGAATTTCTGTAGCTCACAAATGGTATATCAACATACTATGGCTTAGTACAGTGATGGTGAAGTAAGACATATACGTCAAAGGTGACACGCCACAGTATTTTGGTGGACACACCAGCATTTACTAACATACAACATCAGTTCTACTCAAAAGCATGCCCCATTCTTGAGCGAAAGTTTGAGACTGCAGAGGTCACTCAAGAATGGTGTGTGCTCTCCTGTGCTCTCTAGAAGTTGTACAAGAGGGTCAAAGCATTTGACCCACATTTGATCTTACTTAATATTTTGGGTGCCGCACAACAGTGAGATAAACAACAGTACAACAACCATAGATATAAAATGTTTCACATTAATATCATAAAAAACAAAGGTACACAACCATAGGCGATGAGAGGAATGAAAATGGCAAGCGCAACAAAAGAGCCTCTTAGCAAGTCTCCAGTATCCTGGGAGTTCCAGACAACAAGTTGGGGGTTTGTAGTCACTGTGAGTTGGGGGGGGGGGCACGGAGGAAGGCTCAGCCAATCTCACTATAGACATGTTATACTTTGATAATAAAGGTTCATTCATTCATAACATACTAGGTCTTGAGGATCTTTCAGAATATGATTTTTTTTTTCATATTTCTACCATTCTCATTTGCATCACAGCATTTTTGTTAATACTTTTAAGGAAAACAAAGTTCTACCTTAAAGTCAATCTAAGGCAATAATTACCTTAAAAAGATAATCTAAAATCTGAGATCGATAGGGTTCTGGGTAATTCACTAAAAGGCGTGAAGTAGCCTAGAAAAAAATTAGAAAGAAAATTGTTTGGAATTAATATACATAATACTACTGATCAGACATATTTTTATGATAATTATATTTCATGCCCATTTTCCCATAGTTCTTTCATTATTCATTATCTTCATAAAATCCTCTCCTAGCCTCTGCATATGTCCTCGGCAAATACTTAATTTAAAAGTTAGCAGCTAGCCAACCGTGGCTGATCCCAAAATATTACGTAGGATCAAATGTGGAGAGCAACAAAAAAATCCCAGATCTCTGTGGATATGATAAGGAATTCAGAAAACAAAACTCAAAGGCAGTAACAAATTTCTTCCAATTTCTTGCCAAAGAAAATCAAAGGGATTTGTCCAAGAAATAAGAAAATATTAGAAACAAGGCTTCAACTTGAGTGTGTCTTTATTTTACCTAATAATATCTTACTTTTACCCCACTTGTCTTATCCGTTTGTATTATCTTCCTATACTTTACTACTCATAATTTATTATGAGTCCCCACTCCCGCAGGACTCTGGGCGGCTAACAATAAAAACAACATAAAACATGACAAAACAAAGAGTACAATAACAGTCATCCAGGGGTCAGATTTTATAAACCCCAGGCCTGCCAGAAAAGCCAGGTCTTAAGCAGCTTACGGAAAACTAACAGGGTGGGAGCGGTCCTAATCTCCGGGGGGAGCTGGTTCCAAGACGTGGGCGTCATCACAGAGAAAGCCCTGCTCCGCAGCCCTGCCAAATGGCACTGATTGGCCGACAGTAATGGAAGGAGGCCCAGCCTGTGGGATCTAACCGGATGAAGGGAACTATGAGGTAGTAGGCGGTCTCGCAAATAGCCTGGTAATAACCAACACCTTGAATTGGACCTGGAGACCAATAGGCAACCAGTGCAGCTCATGGAGGATAGGTGTAACGTGGGTGTATCGAGGAGCACCCACTATCACTCGCGTGGCTGCATTCTGGACCAACTGTAGTCTCCGAATACTTTTCAAGGGTAGCCCCATGTAGAGCGCATTGCAGTAGTCCAAACGTGAGGTGACAAGGGCACGAGTAACTGTAAGGAAAACCTCCCGGTCCAGGTAGGGTCGCAACTGGTACAACAGACGAACTTGTGCAAAGGTCCTCCCAGCCATAGCCGTCAAATGATGTTCCATGATATACCCTTGCTTGTCCACTCTTGACTCTAATCACTTTCTTTCTCCTGCCTACAAATTCTGATCTGGAAATAACCTGTCTCCTAGTTATTTTAGAAAACCAATGTACAAAGCTTCACCCATTGAAATCCAAATGGCAAAAAGTCACCTCCAACTCCTAAAAAAAGGGGGATGTTTGTTTGCTTGTATCTCTCTCTCCTCTGCCCCCACTGATCGAAGCTGGAGCATATATCTTAATTTTAAGTACATTGTGCAACACACTTGCCCAATTACGTCTGTTTCTTTACCCCTACCTGATTAAATGGCTACTCAACTTGGGACAATAACAATCTGTTAGGTATTATAAGTTCTGTAGGGAAACCCCATTCAGAAAGCAAGCATCTTCATTGGAAAAATAAAATATAAAAATGCCCTGCAAGTTATAGCAACTTTCCCTGGAAGCTATTTATTATTTATGTACAATATTATATGCATCTAATATATGAACAATAAATTGAGTTAATATGTACGTATAATATACGAACTAAATGAAATAACAACCACGCTCGGATCCTCCTAGAGGCATTTCCTGTAAAAAGAATCTTGACAGCTCAGGTCTCTTTTCAGGAAACGCCTCTGAGTGCCGAACGGGTTCTCTATTTTGCCTTTGGGATCTGAGCGCGGTTGCTACAGCCCTTCATCCCCAGGGTAAGCAGAGGACACGGGACTACGGTGATCAGCGGTACTCCCACAAGGAAGCGACCTAAGCTTCAGGTCCTCAGATTCGCAGGTTCTTTCTGGGCAGATTTCCGTCAGGTTGAAAAGCCTCCCCGCTTCCGGGCCAACACCAACGCCACCCCCAACGGAGCACAGTTTGTCCGACCCACTCCAAGCCCGTGCAGTGGGCTCACCCACCCCGCCGCCGCTAACGGCTCCGATGCCATCGAATTGCCGCCCCAGCCCGACGGCATCATCCAGCCAGTAATCGTCGCTCTGCCAAGCAGCCGCTCTGCATCCCAGCAGCCAGACCAAAGACCAAAGCCGCATTCTGGCAGGTCGAAGGAACTGCCGCGCTCAGGAGGACTAGCGACGGGAACCCGACTGCATCTCCTCTCTGGGAGGAAATCCGCGAGAGCTCGGCTGCAGCGTCGCTCCAGATCCCAGCACAGTCATGTGACACGCGGTCACCTGACCAGGCGGGCAATTGGGAGCGCGGAAAAAAAAGGGTGCGAAGTCTTTGAGTGGCGGTGCGGCAGCTCTGTTTCGCCCCCTCCTTCCGTCCCTCGCCTCAGCGATGACGTAACCTCGGAATCATTCCGTTCGAGGTCACGTGCGGGGACTGTCAAGGAAGAGGGCTTGTTTCCAGCGGAGATCGGGATCCTTAAGATTTTGACCGTTGCGTATTAGAGGCACTGTACGCCCCTGGGGAGTTTAAAGATTAAAGTGCCTTGCGTGATTTTAATAGGAAATTGCAATCATTATTACTTGTAATAAAGTAGGAAACGCACGCAGAGCATGGATTCTGGAATTGGCTCCACCCCTCTAACTACAGGAAGATTTTATTTTCCTTGAGTGTAACGACGTACAATGGGGAGCAGGTCCCGTGTGTGTTTGCTCTTCCCTCCACACTTTGGACGACTCTGCCCTCTTTCTCTTCCTCCTGCCCTCCTTCCCTCCCTCCACCGAATGTAGTCCTCTTCCATGCTGTTTGGGGAGGGTTATGCTGCTGATGGACAGAGTCCTGAGCTCCGTATCTTTTCCCATATTTGTACTAGAACAAGTCCACAAAAATATCCTATTTTCAGATGGGAAATAGTCTCGTATGAAACTTTAATGAAAGGTCCATTCCATCTGTTCAGTCTTTACTGCAAGTAATTGTTTTTGAGAAAGCGATGGCTTAGTATATTTTAAAGTAAAGAAACTTTAGACCAGTGTATCCACCTACGGTGTATGTTTTTTAAATGTAGTCATCAGGTGTGTACATTCATCAAGAGACGCCTTGGCGAGATGGGCAGCATTGAAGTTTAATAATAAATATATAGTGTCAGTAAGTGATACAGTAATGTCAGAAATCTAGTTGCCTTGAACACGTCACCGAAGGGATTCTATCTTGGGAAGGAAGATTTTGAAATACTAGGTTTGAAGTATTATAACAAATCTGTAAGCACTAACAAGAATCTTAATTCTTAATTAAAATCTTAATTCAGATATTCATTAGAATGCATTTTAAGTGCATAGTGTTTGACTAAAATAGTGCTTTAAAATGTGTGTTGTTATGCATGCATTTTTTTCTTTCAGTTTATGAGAATAGTCTGAATTATTCTACAATGATGTGTGGTGGCTTGAATGTTTTGCTTAGGGTCAGGAACCTTCTTAGGGTGTATAATAAATGCTAGCAATTGTTGAAAGAAAAATCATCAGGTTCAGTCCAAGCTGGGAGTAAACAAAATGGAGACTAAGGTTGTTTATTTAGTTGCCAGAAACTTCAGTGACACAGCATGTTTCTGGGGTGGCTGACAAAATGGAGCTGGGAGTGGTGGGTTTTTATACCTTCTTGGGCTTTGTATTTGAGGTTGTTCCTGTTCCTGTGCAATTACTTTGACCTGAGCTTGAATGTACCCTTTTGGAATTCTAATGGTGGTGGGTTAATCCTATTATGTCCTAAAGCAGGAGTTCCCAACCCCCGGTTCATGGATCAGTACCGGGCCGCGGTATGCCAGCAACTGATCCGCACAAAGAAGCAAAGCCTCATGGAGGTGCAGGCAGCACACAAAATCATGCACCGTCCAGTCTGCGGAAAAACCATCTCCACGAAACTGGTCTCTGGTGCCCAAAAGGTCGAGGACCTCTGTCCTAAAGGTCATGTTCCTGCCATTGGAGTCTTTGTTTTTCTAATCCCATCAGCTCAAACCTTCTCTGGGGCTGTGGCTGAAGGCATTTTGCTTATGAATAGGTGGCCTCAAATCTGCACTTCTAAAAGCTGGCTTGCTTGGGGAAAAGAGACTGGGGGCTGATTTCTGCCTAAGATTTTTCTCCATTATTCCTTTGGGGAAATATAATATTCTTCCTTTTTTAATATCCCCCAAAATATTTCCTTCTCTAGGAGGGGGGTACTGACTTCCAACACTATGGTCTCTGCTTTGAACAATTCTGGCTGATGATTTGGTTCTGTAGTTCTGTTTCCAAACCTTCTTTAAACCCAAGCTCTAAAGCAGGGGTGTCAAACTTGCAACGTCACGTGACATGTCACGACGTATCATGACTTTTTCCCCATTGCCATAGCGGTTTCGCTATGATGCATCTGGCCTGCGGGCCGGCAGTTTGACACTCTTGCTCTAAAATGTTTCCTTTCTAAATTTGGCAGACATATATTGCCTCTATTCTACTATAATAGTAGTACTTAGTCAGATTGATACACATACTGAGATCTCATTATTATATCCTTCAGCTTCATAGTGCTTCACCAACCATTTTAAATTGGTTTGTCTTGCACAGGTCAGAAGATCACAGCAATGGTAACTTTAAGCTTCTCCTGAGCAGGACCCAATGTAAATCACACAAGTTTAACATTTTATACTGTTTGATGCATGGGGATGCCGTAATCCTGTGGTAAATGACTCATCTGGCTATGGTTATGTAGTAATTACATCTCATTTCTGTAGAAGCCGTAGACCTATTAGAACAGTCTTCCCAAAAGATCTGTTGATCAAATTGGACTTCAAGAGGACATGGGCAGGTTGGTGGTTAATTCCACTAATAATATGTTAATGGCCTAAAATAGGGGACTTGCTAAGGTTATTCATAATAATCACTTCTAATTTCTGTCATGCTTCACAAATGACTCCTTAGTGTACAAACGTAGGGAGCTGAAAAAGCAAGTTAGAGGGCTAAAGAGTAGGTGGAAGATGACTCAGATCAGGAAGATACAGCATAAAATCCACTTGAGAACATACATTGTGGTGATACATGCAGTAGTAAAGCAATATACTGCATTGGTAAGCTCAGTGCTTGCTGGGTTATTCAGGCTGTCCTCCTTTCAACTTCCAACACTTAATCATAGAATCTCTAGCGTTTTGAGGTTTTGTTGGATTTTTGTTTTGGGGTTTGGTTTAGTTTGTTTTCTTGCTGATAAAATCTCAAGCTTATTCAAGCTTGCATGAATGCCAGCATTAATGCAGACTCAATTATGTTCTGTAGGTGTCTAACAATGATTCCTGTATGATTAGAATGCATAATTTCCACGTGTGATATCTGAAAATGTGGACAGGATGTTGGGAGTGGTACCTTAATCAGCCATTCTCTTAATTCTTGGCTTGTAATTTCTAGCCAGGGGTTATTAAAAATGTTATGGTTTGTATCATCAGAACTCCTGTCTGGAACGTGGAATGCCTCCTTACTTAAAAGAGATAAGAATCTCTTATCTTAGAATGCATCCTGATGAATTACATTTAGAGAATGACAGATGAAAAATGGAAGAAATCCCAGAAAAGGAGAAAAAGGATAGAACGGGTCTATAAGAAGAAAACATTGATGTATACAGTACAAATAATATATCAGTAATTCTATTAGTAATAGTATAGAGCAGAATTGTTCAAATAGTAATAGTATAATAGTAATAGCAATACAAGTAGTCCTCACTTAATAACTGCCCTGTTTAGCAACCATTCAAAATTACAACAGTGCTGAAAAGTAACTTATGATGCGTTCTTGCACTTAATAATGGCTACAGCATCCCCATAGTCACATGATGGAGATTTATGTGCTTTACAACCAACAGGTGTTTTACAAGTGTCCCAGCATCCCACAGTCACGGGATTGCCATTGGCACAGTTTCTGACAAGCAGAGTCAATGGAGAAGCTGGCAGTAAAATCACAAGGCTTAATGATCCAAGTGATTCACTTAACAACCATAGAGGAAGTGAACGTGTAAAGCAAAAACAGTTACCTGTTGTCTTGCTTAATGACCATGACACTTAGCAATCAGGTTGCCAGTCCCAATTGTCACCCTTAAATGAGGGCTATCTATAGTAATAGAAGTACCATATGTGTAGGTTAGAGGTAATACAGCAGGTGCATGTATATATACATCACTTTTATACTTTTGATTGTGCCAAATCAGAAGTTTCCCCATCCCTTTTAGGGACCTATATAGAAACCACCTGGTCCAAAGTTCAGTGCTTTTATTTCTTGCATCTGGGTCAATCTAATTGGGCATTGGGTTTAAAAAAAGAACCTGTGACATAGAGGGAATATGGTTCTTGGCTGCTCAGCAACTTTTAATGTCATTAACTATGGCAGTTTTCTGGATCTCTTGGAATATCTGAGGTTCGAAGCTCTGTTTTTGTTATTATCTCCCAGGGTTCTATCTTGAGGTACATTCTAAATAGGATCATTTGAAGAAAATCATTCCTCAGCATGAGTACTGTAGATGTGTCTCTTAAATATCTACTGCTTCTTCCCTATTGAGCAGTATAGATTCCACATAGATTTCTTTGTGATTATACTCTCCCCAAGCATCAATGAAGGAGTTTGGGTATGTTTCTGGACTAAGGGCTTCAAAAAAAGATATGACTCTTTGTTTGGGACACATGAATTTTTGCATGCATTAGCTGTTCAGATTGCTTTTGTGCCTAATGAGAAAATGTCAGAACAGAATTCAGCATTCCTTTGGGCCTTGGAAGAAACTGAATGAAATTATACCTCTGTGTGCTGATCAATCTTTCTATCTCCAAACCACTCTTAGTTGAATTTAAAATGCATTTGAGATTCTTTTGGTTATTTGCAGATAATATCAATACAATCATGTTTATGAATTTGAAGCCCAAACTGTGTAGAGAAACGTTAGCCTTTTTCAGATTCAGATAACCTTTATTGTCATTTTTTTCCTGTGGGCACAACGGCACACATTAAAAATGAAATTTAGTTGCTTGCTCTCAAGTGTACACATACATATCACACATTTAAAACATACTATATACAACATATGTATAGACCTACACCCTTATATATAAGTAACATATAAATATTAATCACTGTCCATAATGTAAGGAGGAAGATTTAGTGTTCACAAGGTTAATACTGTATGGAACAAAACTGACTCAATCTGGATGTTCTGCTTCAGATACCATAGAGCCTCCTCCCAGAAGGTAACAAGGAAAACAGGCTGTGAAGAGGATGTGTAGTGTCCCAGACAATCTTGTGGACCCTGCTCAAGCAACACTTATGTGCTATGTCCTGGATGGAAGGGAGGGAACTGCCAATGATATTTTCAGCCATCCTGACCATTCTCTGCACTGCCTTCCTGTCTGAAGCAGTGATGCTTATAAACCAGACTGTGATGCTGTATGACAGGATGCTCTCGATCGTCCCT